TGAGGGTGGAAAATAACAAAGCAAATACAACCTTTTTATGCTCTTCACAAAGTCAATCGAGCAACATCCTTTTTAGATGCTGAAGCTTTGTTCACTTACAGTTTGTTTTTTAGAGCAGGTGTTTGTGTTGTAAATTTTAGAGCATATATTGTCGGGGTTTTTTTCCCTTGAATAGGCCTTCATTTGAAAAATCATATTCTTGCACAAACTCTAACTGTAGACGATGGCTACATAAGAGTTCGAGTTCATATTCTCTTGCATTTTAGTTTTTGTATCTTGTCTCTGTGTGTATGATGTTCTGTACTCTTTTCATTTTGGAATTGTGCAAATATATGAACTGAATTTTTGGCTCATTTTGTTGGTGTGCCAGGCAAGAAACGGGTTTATTGCCAATAATATATGAAACGAGTTTCAATAAACAGTTTTTATCAAGACAATTGGTAGTGAGGGGGCGAAAAACGGGTTTCCTCTTAAACTCGTTTCTTGTTCAAGAAACTCGTTTTTTGTTCAAGAAACGAGTTTATTTCTGAAGAAACTAGTTTCTTGAACAAGAAACGAGTTTATTTCTCAAGAAACTAGTTTCTTGAACAAGAAACGGGTTTCTTGAACAACAAACCCGTTTTTTGAGAAATTAACGGGTTTTTTGAACAAAAAACAAGTTTCTTGAACAAAAAAATGAGTTTCTTGAACAATAAACCATTTTTTTGATCAAGAAAGTAGTTTCTTGAACAAAAAAATGAGTTTCTTGAACAAGAAACGAGTTTCTTGAAGAAGGAACACTTTTTTTTGCTTAAGAAACTAGTTTCTTGAGAAATAAACGGGTTTCTTGAACAAAAAATGAGTTTCTTGAACAAGAAACACTTTTTTTGCTCAAGAAACTAGCTTCTTTAAAAATAAACGGGTTTCTTGAACATAAAATGAGTTTCTTGAATAAGAAACGAGTTTCTTGAACAAGAAACCCTTTTTTTGCTCAAGAAACTAGTTTCTTTACAAATAAACGGGTTTCTTGAACAAAAAAACGGGTTTCTTGAACAAAAAACGAGTTCTTGAACAAGAAACCCGTTTTTTGCTCAAGAAACCCGTTTTTAGCTCAAGAAATTAGTTTCTTGAGAAATAAACTATTTCTTGAACAAGAAATCCGGTTTTTGATGAAGAAACCATCTCAAGAAACTAGTTTCTTGAGAAATAAACGGGTTTCTTGAACAAAAAACGAGTTTCTTGAGCAAGAAACCCGTTTTTTGCTCAAGAAACCCATTTTTTGCTCAAGAAATTAGTTTCTTGAGAAATAAACTATTTCTTCAACAACAAATCCAGTTTTTGATGAAGAAACCATCTCAAGAAACTAGTGTCTTGAGAAATAATCGGGTTTCTTGAACAAAAAATGAGTTTCTTGAACAAGAAACCCGTTTTTTGCTCAAGAAACCCGTTTTTTAGCTCAAGAAATTAGTTTCTTGAGAAGTAAACTATTTCTTCAACAACAAATCCGGTTTTTGATGAAGAAACCATCTCAAGAAACTATTGTCTTTAGAAATAAACGGGTTTCTTGAACAAAAAACGAGTTTCTTGAACAAGAAACCCGTTTTTTGCTCAAGAAACCCGTTTTTAGCTCAAGAAATTAGTTTCTTGAGAAATAAACTATTTCTTGAACAAGAAATCCAGTTTTTGATGAAGAGACCATCTCAAGAAACTAGTTTCTTGAGAAATATACGGGTTTCTTGAACAAAAAACGAGTTTCTTGAACAAGAAACCCGTTTTTTGCTCAAGAAACCCGTTTTTAGCTCAAGAAATTAGTTTCTTGAGAAATGAACTATTTCTTCAACAAAAAATCCGGTTTTTGATGAAGAAACCATCTCAAGAAACTAGTGTCTTGTGAAATAAACGGGTTTCTTGAACAAAAAACGAGTTTCTTGAACAAGAAACCCGTTTTTTGCTCAAGAAACCCGTTTTTAGCTCAAGAAATTAGTTTCTTGAGAAATAAACTATTTCTTGAACAAGAAATCCAGTTTTTGATGAAGAAACCATCTCAAGAAACTGGTTTCTTGAGAAATATACGGGTTTCTTGAACAAAAAACGAGTTTCTTGAACAAGAAACCCGTTTTTTGCTCAAGAAACCCGTTTTTAGCTCAAGAAATTAGTTTCTTGAGAA